GGCAATTTTCTAGATTGGCTCTGCCGCGGAGCGGCAGAGGCGCGAGGCCATCCTTGGTCCCTAGATAGTCCCTGCCGCCCAGAACATGTAGCGCGATCGGGGCAATTTCCCAATCAATTGGTTGGTAATATTTCGATTAAGTTGGCGGCATATCATAATGAGCATGAAGTTTGGATGCGAGGTGATAGAAGTATAGTATAAAGACCGGCCCCACATGTTGGAAAAAAAATTACTTTAGCTCATTATGAATAAACTAAAATAATGTTTTGATCATTTAATTGGTAAACATCTAGCAGTCCGCTATCCGGGCATGAAGCAAGAAAAAAAATCAACGCGGGCCAAGCAGCAGATGGGACTCTAACCCGCACCCTCCGCTATCCGGGCACATACACTGTGTGGGACATTGTGTGTTCTGGGTTCCTACAATGAAAAGAGATAGTGCTGCTTTGCAGCTTAAGAAATTCGACACGGACATTAAGGTCACGGTTGCATAATCGGCTAGTGCATCCGCCCGTATAGCGGAGGGTGCGGTCCCATCTGTTGCCTAGACTGCGTGGATTTTTTTTCTAGTAAACTGTCTTTAGTTTTAAACATTATTTTAAACATGACAAAGAGAGAGAGAGACGGCAAACTTTTGGACTGACAACCTTATTTACTACCTCGCAGGGGAATGACTACCATGATTCAATTTTTTTCTCAGTAGCCGGCCTTATCGAACCGTAGTTCGATCGACGATCTGTGCGACTATTTCAACGTGAATGGCCCCTTTAAGTCCGTTACATACAGTTAAAGCTAACTTCAGAGAGTCACCCAAAAATGATAGACACATCCTCAATGGCCCAACCCAGAGATGAATGGCCGCCCATAAAGGACTTCCGGCGCGATTAGTTCCGCTGCTGTGCTGTACCAAATGTACGTGCTCGTCACTCAGAGATGTGTGTCATCCAATAAAATTGAGCAAAGAGGAATTAGTATTCGATTTAACTATTACCACACTCACTTCGACACAAAAGAATTGAGATCTAAATGAGCGCCAACTTAATATGTTGGGGAAAAAATCTTTTCGCATTATAGTATGTATGAACTTGTAATAAAATCTCTTTGGTATAACACCATTTGTATCTGGTTGGTTTATGGTATCATTAAAAAAAATCAAGATAATTCCAAATTCAAATTAGATAAATGTGTGATCTTTATTCGTTTTTATTACTGTCAAGATGTGTGCATCTAATGAAGATATTATATACATTTTAAAATTTTTACTACAGAAAAGGCAAAAATGCAACGCAAGCCGGGAAATAAATTATGATGTTTATGGACCTCGAGCAGTGTCTGTGATATTAACACAAATTTGGTTTAGGAGTTTTCAATCCGGAAATTTTGATGGCAACGATTCACGTCGCTCTGGTCGCCGAGATGTGGTTTTTCGTGATGATAACGCAAGATCTTACACATCCTTAGCCACTTAGCAAAAATTAAGAGAGTTTGACTGGGAGATGGTAATGCATCCGCCGTATAGTCCAGACCTTGCATCTTTAGATTTACACGTGTTTCCATCTCTTCAAAATTTTTTAAGCAGTGTTAGGTTAACACCACGAGAGGACTGCCAAAACCACTTGTCGCGGTTTTTAAATCAGAAGCCCCAAAATATCTATAGCAATGGGATCGTGTCCCTACCTACAATATGGCAAAAAATTATAGAACAAAATGGCAGCTGATACTAAAAAGATGATTTGAATTTTGATATAAAATGCGAAGAAACTTTTTTCCCAACCTAACATTTACCAACTTCAGTGAATGAATGGCTACACGGTTTGTGCTACTACAACAGTATATTTTGATTACGAAGACGAAGCGGAGTATATTGAAGTTATTTATGGACATATGTACAACATTCTAAAATAATTAGTTATTAATGAAAACCTAAAACTTTTAATTTAATAAATATTCACTGTTCTCTGATTTCGAAATTTGCATACAGGCAGACACGTGCCTAGTCGAAAGGGAAATTTCAATTTTCTAGGTCATCTGGAAACACGTTACTGAATACCGATGACTCAATAAGTGTGTTAAGTATTTAGGAAATTTTGCGTTTGAAGAAAATGAAAGTAATTAAAAAAAAATTATAGATACTAGTGGGCGCCCGCGACATCGTCCGCATTAGCTTTAGTTTTATGAAAATTAGATAGGTACATTTAATGTATTTCGTATCGTAGGTAGGTATTGTGTGAGGACTGTGGACTAATGGTATGGCACATTGATATTTGGGTCGAGAAAACACAATGCAAGTGCTACATAAGATGATGATTCGAACAATGGAGTTATGCAAGGTTCCTGTAGCCAACACCCGTGAAAGATGGTGTACCTGTATTGCGTCCATTAAGATTGTACTTTGCACCTGTGTTATAGATAGCGGCAAACTTCTTCAGTATAACACAGACAAATAAACTTGCGCAGTAGACTTTTTAGTACCTATGTAAAATGAATACGTACATTGCTAATGCGCAGGCTTCCTTGTCTATGGTCGTTGCTCAAGAAATTTGCTAGGGTGTATGTGTGTACAAATCAAATTAACATATAGGCTAACTATTTTTTTTATATGTATTATCTAGATAAATGTACTTTATATATGTATTCTATCCGTTACCCTGGTATCCCATAACATAAGCCTTACAGTGCTTACTTTGGGGCTAGGCTAATTGGCCTGAAAATTAGTAATATTTATTTATCAAATACATAACATATTTATTCTTATATTTTTGGATTTTGAGCATTTAACTGATAGATGTTCAAATCTAAAAAAAAAATGGTTGCCTGTAAAGTCGGTTTTACGGGCGAAGATTTTACGTGACAACGTCTTTTTCTCGGTAGAATATTTATTGATATGAATATAATTAAATTGCACAATAGGAACAAGGAATTGAATGAAAATAAGAATTGCACAAATTTTAACTATAGAAATATATTTTGTTTACTAAAACATTGTACATGTAAACTTAAACTTAACACGAGAGACTCATCGTAACGTTACCGAGCGTTACACTTTTTCATAAGTGACTCCCAGCCGCAACCTAATTTAAGACGTTGTCACGTCAAAAAACTTACCAAAAATGTCGCGGACACCAAATATTTTACAATAAATTGCTTAACGTGCTATGCTAACATTAAAATGTTGTTGTTGACAATATAGTACCTAATTGACAGGTTATTGTTATCGACGTTACTACTGATACAATCGCATTGCACGCTTGGCCGCGCATATGATGTCATTCAAGGAACATTACGTTGCGTACGATGCGACAGATGACGTAAACTCACGTAAACTACTTAACTTGTTTCTTTTTCTTGTTTACTGACGTATTTTGGTTGAGAAATTATGAATTAAACCAAAATTTTTTTTTCAAAATTTCATCTTTAGATCATTCATCCAGATTAGAATTTTCACACCCTGACGAAAATATACGCAATCAACCAAGTCACTATTAGTTTAGTTAATAATCTTCTTTTTAGTAAATATTCCAAAACATGGGTATAGAATGGAGTGGGATATTAATCAAAATTTTACCCTCATTTCAAGAAATAGTGTTTCTAATTTCTCGTTGACAGTTTTAAAATTATTTCTTATTTCTAACAATTTTATCTTGAAGATAATTTACTGTGTATTGGTAACTAAAGTCAAATTTCAAGGATCTTTGATCCATTTCATTATAACACGGTGCGGTTTCCTTATTATAAAAAGATCCATAGTGCAATTATGTATTCTCTATAGAAAACATATTTGCTATTTGCACAATTAAAAATTATTTCAAGCTGTTCCAGGAAGGGGTCATTCATAAATTATATCATACTACTTCGAGATTTTTACCCCTCCCCGTCACAGTTGGTTACATTTGTATCATCCCCTTATTTTCTCGCTAAAATCCTGGGGATTTTACGCAAATGCGGATAATTAGATAATGACGATGACATTTCTCAATCTTACTGAAAAAAGATGCGATTTTTGCGAAAACAAGTCATCTCTTAGATTGCGAATAGAATAGTTGGCTTATTATAAATAAATATTCTTGAGTTCTTGGATTCACACCAGGTTAGGTTAGTGTTGTGACCATGAAATTCGAGTCGAGCGAGCGTAGCGAGCGAGCCGGGACAACGGCCGGCGAAGTACTAGAAAAAAATAGTTAATAGTAAACTTGAGCAATATCATCACCATTGTCTCATTATCTGTGTTTTTGAAAAATCCATACCTCCTTATTTATAAAAGCTTAGACTAGTTACGCCTTTTTTTGTTCATACCACTCAAACGCCATTGTCATTTAATGAACAGATGAAAAACATGGAGTAACTAATCCAAGCTTTTTTTTTCATTTATTAATAAAGGGCGTAAAGTTTTCGCGAAATTCGATTTTACATATTACGCAGAGCCGTCTTTAACCTATAGAGGCCCTGGGCATATTACGATAGAAATGGAGCGAATCATACTGATGAGTGTACTACTGATGATTTTTCTTTAAAATGTGTATGTGCTTAGTATACCATTATATGTATATTTAAATTTATCTAAGCATGAAGTGAAGTGAACTGAAGTCGGAAAGCCTAATTTTTGCGTAAGAGTAGAATAGCTTCGCTTATGTAAAGCTAGTAAGTTGGTATTGTAGTCAGTAATTTAGGTTCGATTTCATCGAATTTTATAATTTTTTTGGTAATAAATATTGGTTATCGTATGGTGATCTGACAGGAACTAGGGACTTTGTATTTGATCTGAGGGAGGCCCCTATCGATCGCGGAGCCCTGGGCACTTGCCCAAAGTGCCCACTGAGAAAGAGGGGTCTGATACTACGATATCAATAAAATAAATGCTGTTTGTGGCATGTAAAGCTGTGCGCAAGAGAAGAATAGAAACTTCTTCATCTATAATTCACGGTCAAGTGACTGTTGGGTAAATTAATTACTATGCAAATTTACTATACTAAAATTAATGACAAATAACTGTTTGTTAACAGGTCGGGTCCGTGACCATATGCCGTCGTCATCATGGTGATAGTCACTAGGGTAAGTAAACTATATTTTCAAACATATTATTCATCATCATTCAACCATAGGCCTCCTCAAAGATCTCTACCCAGCGATTTCCAGCGACCTAACTATTTATTAATTAAATAGTCAGTAAAAGATATAAAAATAAGAAGAAACATATAAAAGTCCCGTTTGCTACCTGGCCCACGTGGATTTTTTTCTAGAAAAGTTTTCTTTAGATTTCAGACATCTAGCAGTTAAATGCTTAAAAAATAAAAGATTACACATTACTTAATTGTTACTTTTAAACATGAGTACAGTCAGAGTCAAAGATAAAAACTTTTGTAAGTGTAATATATACGTAGCTATTACGTTTATATCACCATAATTACCGCATTTACATTAAGTTGGTGCATGAAAGACATTACTAGAATTCGGCCACCCTACCCGATGTCATATTTACATTGTTTTTACTCGAACGCGAGCTGGAAGACGGCGTCGCGTAACCATCGAAAACGGGCCTACTCGACTCCGTTCATTGACACTTAGTCGTTTGTCCGAATTCCATAGGCAATCGTATTCGGGCTAACGACCAAGTGTAACTGCTTCATAAGAACCACGTCATGCTGTTTCTTTACTGCTATAAATAAGTACATATAAGTACAACGTTGTCGATTCTGGCATGATTTTTTAAATTTAAAACTAATTTTAACAACAGCATCTCATTTTCATTCAAAAATAGAATGACAAGGATACACTGTTGTCCAATTTTTATGTTGGGTTTGGAGAATCATGCAAAAATCATCACAAATAACAGAGTGGTCGAAGAAAGAATTATATTTAAATAAAAATCTCGCGTCATAGTGTTTGTTATTGAACTCCCCCGAAAAGGCTTTACCGATTATAATGTTTTTTTGGGTATATTTGGTATGTCAGAGAATAGGTCGTACGTAGGTTTTTTACCCCTAGAAGATAATATAACTTTTTTGTATTCTTTTATAATTTGGCACTAAACAGTAAACAGTACTTTAAACCCTAAATTCTCACCCATCTATCACTTACCTTACACTACACAATTATTACACTTTTACATAACCTCTTAAATTCTTACTGTGCCCAGTGCCCCACTGCCTAAAAGGATCAACCGAATGTCAAAAAAAAAAAACTCCGAAATTCAATGAAACAAATTCTTAGAAAATCAAATTATTCTTTTAACTTTTGTAGCCAAGAGTGTGCTTGCTCAAAACACAGTAATTGCGAAAATATCATTTTATAACATATTTTATGCAAACGTATGAATAAATAATTTATTCGAAACGGTGAGACGTAAATAAAATATAATCTTAACTGTTGCCGTTTCTCGCTTTACATCGTAATATGACAGGTAATTGTATATGTCAAATTCGATTGGCGGTAAACATGCGTGTCTAAGTAAAACTGAGAAAAGAGAAACTTGAAACCAGCTTTAAGAAAGTTGAAAAGTTAAGGAACTATTTGTAAATAATGAGTAAAGCACAGTCATTTCTTAAAAGCAAAAAAAAATCTTAAAAGCAGAGTAATGGTCTTCCTTTAAAACGCTATTTTATTTCTTCACGCTTAATTATGCTTTTTCACCACTTAATTTAATCTCAAAATATGACACGCTGGGTTTTTATACAATCTAAAACACATCTTAAGTCGTCTACTCAAATCAAGGTCTGGGGAGTGTAGTTTATCTATACATATAATAAAATGGTAGGAAGTCAAAACTGTACATTGAATGTTTTTTTCAAAGGATACTTGGGGTGTGATCTACTCGTACAATCGATACCGAAGCCAAAATATAGTTTTTAGAATGTTTGTCTGTATGTATGTCCGGGATAAACTCAAAAAGTACTGCATGGATTTACTTCAATTTTGGCACGAATATTATTAAGAAGTCGGATCAACATAAAGGCTATATATTATCACGCTTTCAATTATGTGGAACGAGCAGTGAACCATTATTTGTAACTAACTCCACGCGTACGAAGTCGCGGGCGGCTGCTAGTTTCACATAAAACAAGTCCTGAGAAATAGAATCTACCTAATGTTATGTTGAGTCAGATGCCAAGCTAACAAGATAATCCAGTGATTTTTCATTAAGCATATTTCCTAAGAAAATTAATATAAAAAGATCCTGGTGATGAAAAAAAGAGGAAGCACGAGTGCGGCAGAGAATTCCTTCTTCAAATAGTCTAATAGAGAAAGAGAAAAAAGTTCCTATTTGTCTTTTTTGTTTTAATAGTTAAAGAAAAAAATGAGTCTCGTGCCTTCAGTAATGAATGATACAGTCGACTGAGTCAGCGTTAATTCAACCGCCAGTGAAGCGATGCGCCGTGGGAAGTCTGGCTATTGATCACAGTCACGTACAGCCTTTGATAAGACATCAATGCAGTCCCTTACTATAATTACAAGCCTTATTTATAAAATAGTGCGTTTATTATTCTTAATGTATTTTTCTTTATTAATGCAACGTCAATATTAACTATGGATATATTCATGCTAATTTTAATAAGGCTTTTATATAAGACTAGCAGCCCGCCCTCGCTTCGCTTCGGTGTAGAGCCGTAGTGTAGACCAGCTATACTCTAAGTGTGTTCCGCGGAACCCTAGGGTTCCGTGATACCTCTGTCGGGGTTCCGCAAGAATTTAGAAATAAAAAAATCAAAACACCTCTCTCTGGTCGCTCCGCGGCTGTGCGGACTCCGCGGCCGCGCGGAGACAAAACGCTATGAATGTTATTTATTTATTTATTTGTATTTGTATAAGCTTGTGTTACATTAGCTGGTACAATATCTCATAAGTTTGGTCTCAACAATTTTATACTTGTACAACGCGTTCGCTCTAAGTTTGCCGGTCTGTGGAATGCGCGTACCCTCCCCCACGTGACAACAAAACTTATAATGTGTCATAGTTTTACCCAAATATCTAACGTACACAATTTTTATTGTTACAATTAAATAAAAAATTTCGAACGTCATACACTCATACCTATCGCCAGCGGCAAACTTAAAACGAGCGGGTAGGTATACTTGTAAGCGCTCAGTCTCTTTGATAAAAGCCGCCTCTGAATTAGACGCTATAGTTGTCAACTAGCGACTTTCGTCTCTAACTTCAAAGGATAAAGTCGATATTGTTTACAACGCTATTTTTAAATTTCTGTTTTTATTTTTGCTTTTTGTTTATCAAAGGTGCCGACTCGAGTATTTTCGAGAATATTTGAGATCGAGTCTAGGACTAAGTATAAAAGCGGCGATCGCGCGTTGGCGTCGTCAGTTGATGATTAGCGTTCGGAGCGATAAGTTACTACCTACTTACAAGCTCGCTAGCGAGAAACTGGTGTTCATTGTTTTACTGCCTGCTGTATTCTGTTGTCTCAGTTTTATACATTTCTTCCCTGTAGGTTCTAAATTTAGTCTCTTATACGCAGTAACGATTGTGCATTATTTAAACCCCACTATCCTGACTTGTAACATTATAAATAAAGAAGAATGGAACGTTGGCTTAAAGGTGTTAAACGTGTTCCAACAACATCTTCTAATGACGCTGAATGTTCAAAAGCAATGCGCGCGGAGAATTTAGCAATCACCGATCCAGAAGATGATGCCACGAGTGCCACGACGTCAAGCTCGACGGTTTCAAAGACGAAAAAAAGGAAGTATGATGAATCTTATATCAGTTTCGGATTTGTTGATTCCAACGGCTCACCTCTCTGCATGCTCTGTAGTAAACTGCTTCCTAATAGTTCCATGGCACCTGCCAAATTGCGTCGACATTTAGAAACCGTACACCCCGAGACTAAAGACAAGAATAAAGAATTTTTTGTTCGCAAAAAAGATCAGTTATTAGAAAGTCAAAAAAATATGATGCATGTAACACAAACTACCAACGAAAAGGCCACGGAGGCATCATACTTAGTTAGCTATCGCATTGCACAAGCAAGTGAAGCGCACACTATCGCTGAGAAATTAATAAAACCATGTGTATTAGACATAACAAAATGTATGCTTGATGAAAAATCTGCAAAGCATCTTTCTACTGTTCCGCTATCAAACGATACTGTTTCACGACGAATCCATGATCTGGCAAGCTACGTCAAACAAGAACTAGTTACACGTCTACAAAATACACGATTCGCTTTGCAAATGGACGAGTCGACTGATGTCGCTGGTTTGGCTATCCTGCTGGTTATTGTGAGATATCCATATAAAAGTTCTTTTGAAGAAGACATGCTTATGTGTTCATCGCTGCTTACAAACACTACCGGGGAAGAAATTTTTAATAAAATAAATATATTTTTTGAAGAACATAATCTCAGTTGGAACAATTGCATTGACATTTGTACAGATGGGGCCAAGGCGATGACAGGTAAAACAGCAGGAGCAGTGTCACGAATGAAAAATAAAGCGCCTAATTGTAGTTCCAGTCATTGTATTCTGCATAGACAAGCACTTGCGATGAAGCAAATGCCGTCTAATCTAAAATTAGTTATGGATGAAGCGGTAAAAATAATTAATTTTATCAAATCACGACCACTACAATCCCGATTGTTCTCATTATTGTGTGAAGATTATGGCAGCAAACATAAAACACTGCTGCTCCATACAGAAGTGCGATGGCTGTCTCGGGGAAAAACTTTAACAAGGCTATTTGAACTTAGAGCCGAGTTACAAATGTTTCTTTCAGCAGATACTTCTTTTAATTTGAAGGACCGTTTGTATGATAAAACTTGGTTGTTCCGATTGTCTTTTATGGCGGATATCTTTCAAAAACTTAACGAATTAAATTTATCATTGCAAGGTAAACAGACAACAGTGTTTCAGGCCTATAATAAAATAACTACTTTTAAAAGAAAATTAGATTTTTGGATCATTTGCATTGGTAAGAAAGAAATAGAAAGTTTTACGTTACTCACTGAGTTTGTTAGCGAAAACGACTCAGAAATGTTTGAAGATAATGTGTTTGAAGAATTGGTCCAATATCTCAGTTCGATGCGCGCATCTTTTGAAAAGTAT